GCTGCCATCGCGGATATTGCAGGGAGCGAGGAGGTGGCAGACCATGGTGAGCGCTCTGTCACCTCTGCCACGCCTTTCTGGGAGGAGCTCCTGTCCTGTGCCTGGGACCGGCTCTCTCCAGTGCTTTCCTGAATTGGGGATGGGCTGCCCAGTGCTTGCTGCACCCTCTGGCCCTGTTTATGTGGCAGTGGAGTCACTGCTGAAGACCTTGCAGTGTTCATGCTGAGCACACCTCACAGGTCTGGTTTCTTGGTTTGCAGTGATGTTTTTTGTTCTCCCTGTAAAAGCAATTAAAAACATCTTACAGGAAGGAGCTCCACAGCTTTAATGCAACTCTGTGGTTTTCAAATCTACATCCTGCTAGCTTTATTTAATGGCCCCTACCCTTCCCTAGACCCTTTTTCCTTGTGACTTAGCAGAGCCAGCAGGCAGCTCCAGCCCCTTGCTAATATACCTAAAGCAGGTATTAATTCCACCAATTCCCAGTGCCATCTCTGGCCCCTCTGGCCACCGTAAGATTAGAGAACGAGGAGCAAATGCTTTTCTTTTGTGGAGACAAGCCAGATTTTGTTGCGTGTCTCTCTGCATTGCTGAATGGCACTCTGAGGTTTAACTGGCAGTCTGAGGTTTTCTGGCTAGAAACAAACTTGCTTCCTCAAACAATAATAGAAAAAAGAACAGCATTAGCTTTGTTTTTCAGAAAGTCCTGGCAGGCTGTTCCCACTGCTGAAGCAAGGCAAAGTTGTGGGAGCTTCAGGGTGTCAGCTGGACAGCTGAGGAGAGGCAGAACATTTTTGGTCACAGTCACCAAGCACACTGATCCCAGCTACTTCCCCAGGGATGGCATAGGTGACAAGGGTGTTTGGTGGCTCTCTGAAGCATCTGCCTTGGAATGCTGTGTCTGATAGATGCATGCTGAGCTCCTGCATCTCCCTCTAGGCATGATGGATCTCCAGTACCTACTCAGCAAACTTTCCCAGCGTGAGAACTTGGCCAGCCTGAGCAGAGAGCTCCTCCAGGACATCCTGCGGTACCTCCACCGCATCGGGCTCGTTGTGTGGTATGAGGAAATCAAGCACTTGGAAAGCACCGTCTTCCTCCAGCCTACATTTTTAATAACCATGTTCAAGGTGAAAGTGGGGATCAGGACCATCTCTGTAGAGCCCAAGTTCTGCAGCTTTGCTGAGCTTCTCTCACTGCCACCTCGTGTCTCCTTCTCTTCCCATGCAGCTCCTGGTGCGGCACCAGCTCGTCCAGCAGCTGGAGAGCATCTCTGTGGAGACGCTGATCGGGGAACACGCCACCATCAGAGACAGGGCCAACTGGTTGTGGACCTTCAAGTCCAAGGCAATGCTGTGCCACCAGGCTGTGCGTGCCTTGGTGAAGCACCAGCTCTGTTCGGAAGGCATGTGGGATGTCTTTGAGGAAATCATGGGACACAGGCCTCACAGAGGGAGAGGGAAGCTCTTCAGCCTTCTGGAGCACTTTGAGCTCTGCCTGGAGGTGAAGCACACTGAGGCACTCAACCCACAGGCCAGGGAGTTTGTGCCTGGGAAGCCATGGGAGACAACACAGAGCCAAGGCACGTCCTGGTACTTGTTCCCAACATATCTAAACCAGACAGAGGAAGTGTCTGAGGTCTGGGGAGGAGATCACCCCGAGGACCTCCACATCCGTGCCTACTTCTCACCCGAAATACCTGAGGGCTTCTTCCAGAGGTAAGCACTGGTTTCTGGCCATCAGTGAGGTTGTGGGATTGAGTTTGCTCGGTGCAGTGCCAGGATGACTCTCAGCAAGCCCTTGGCTCTTGAGACTGTGTCTCCTGAGGCCTGAGGCTGGGAGTCAAGATACCAGGGTGGCTTCTCAGCTGTGCCACACACGTGTAGGGCCCTGGGTGAACCCCTTGCAATGTTCACTGCCTGGATGTGAGCAAAGGCCACACTCCTTCTGGTTCCCCTTTCATCTCAGGGGGTGTTTGGCTAATCTGTGCCCATCCTGGCAGGCAGAGGTCTCACAGTCTCACCCAAGAATGTTCTAGTTTCTATGGGTGTTGCAACTGTACCAGTTTTTGGAACTTCTCCTGGTTTTCTGGACTTGTGTCTAGAGTTTTATCTGATGGTGTTGTGGTTAAACCCCAACTGGCAACCAAACACCACAGAGCCACTCGCTCACTCTCCCCAGCTGGACTGGGGAGAGAATCAGAAAAGTGAGAAAACTCATGGGTTGAGATAAAGACAGTTTAATAGTTGAAATAAATTATAATAATAACAGTAATAGTGATAATAATATTGTAATGAAAAGGAAATCAGCAAAGAGAGAAATTAAACCCAAGAAGAACAGGTGATGCAAATAAAAAACAATTGCTCAGCACTAACCAACTCCTGCCCAGCCTGTTCCCAAGCAATGGTCCCCCAGCTGGCTCTCCCCCAGGTTTATATGTTGAGCATGATGCCACTGCATATGGGATAACCCTTTGGTCATTTGGGGTCAGCTCTCCTGGCTGTCCCTTCCCAGCTTCTTGTACATTCCAAGCCCCCTCGCTGGCAGGGCAGCCTGAGGACCTGAAAAACCCTTGACTTGAGGTAAGCCCTGCTCAGCAGCAACTAAAACATCAGTGTGTTATCCACATCATTCTCGTCCTAAATGCAAAGCACAGCACTGTACCGGCTGTTAGGAAGAAAATAAACTCCACTCCAGACAAAACCAGGACAAGATGGCCAGCTCTGGGAGGATCTCTTGCTTTAAGAGGCCGTTGAGCTGCTTGAGCTTGCAGTAGGGGAAGGTCCTCATTTGGTGTCTGTTCTTACTGAAACTTGGTTCATATTTTCAAGTCCATCCAGTTTTTCCAGCATTAGGGATAAACTAGGAGAAAAGTGATGAAAGCCATGGGCAATTTCCTTGCAGATTCCTGGTGAAAGCTTGCTCCTTCTATTCCACACACTGGGTGGCCAAGGTGACCTGCCTGCTTGTATGCAATGGCAAACCTCTGCTGATCAAAGAGAATAACCAGAGGGCCTACAGCTACCTGGAGCTCCGCAGCAGAAAGCCATCAGAAAGGACGGGTAAGATCCTTGATCCATATTTCATGACTCCCAACTCCATGTCTCTCCTTAGCTCTGCTCCTGCCACCTCCAACCCTATGGGAAGTGTCCCAAGAGGCCTCTGCCACATGCCCTAGTCTGGCCTGGGTCCACCAGCACTCCACTTAAAGGTTTCCCCTTTCTCCATGGAATTCTGTTCAGGACTCCTCTAGAGGTATCACATGCAAGTGGAAAGCCAAGTTTTCATTCTCATCATGGAGCAAATGGGTTGTCCTTCCCCAGAAGACCCCAGCAGAGAGCAGTCTAAGGCTGGATCTGCAAGTAATAAGCAAAGGGGCCACCCAAGTTGGGGAGCTCTTCCAATGTATCATTAAATTCCTTATGGAAGTTTGGTTAACTGGGGATGGAGCCAGTCTGACAGATGAGGCTGTGGGTTGTGTGGGTCACCACAGAATGTCCTGGGCTGCTATGGCTGAAGGCTGTAAGAAAGAGACATTCTCCTTTTGCCTGGAAGGGTTCCAGTTTGCCTGGGATTTCCTCGTGGCAGTTGTGCTCATCACCCAGAAGCTCGCTGAGGAGTGGCCGGGGCTGCACGTGTGTGTGAAATCTCCCTGCCGAACGTCCGGCTGTCCTGCAGAGTTCCTCTGGCCAGACATGGATGGCACAGGTGCCACGTACGTACACACTGTGCCCTCCCAGCAAGGGTGGGGCCCAGTGGTCACTACTGCAATGCTGGTGAGGCTGCTCAGCTTCTAAAAGCCACGTGAAATTAGTCATGAAACTCACCAGGCACCACAGCGCCCTTCTCCCAACCATAGCAGCTCGTGTCCCATGTGGTGTTAACACTTACTGGTGTGGGAAATTGGAGCATGGAGGAAAAGGTGAAGAAGCTGGGACTCTGGGGCTCAGGCACATAATGCTCACTCTGGACATGTGCCCACATGTCCCTGTTTCATGAGGAGCTGAAGGTGCTCAGGCACCTGGGAGGGCAGCGGATGTCCCACCGACAGCTGCACCTCAGGTCAGGGTGGGAAGAGCAAACCTATTCCATTGCCTTAGCATCACATTCCATGGGAAGTGCTGAGAGCAGCTCCTGCTCCTTCTTTCCTGGCCTTTTTCCTCCACAGGACAAAGGAAGATGTTAAAACCTGTGGGACATGTGGGCACCGGTTTGGTGCAGAGCTGCTCCTGCCCAAAGGTGAGCCCAGTGTCCCGAGTTTGTGCCACTGCTCTGCTCAGGGGAAAGAGGGCTGAGAGTTTCATGGGGCTAAGGGTGTCCCATTCCCACAGTACCCAGGCCACTGGAGGAGCCCCCAGCACAGCCCTCTGCTCACTATTATGTGACAAGCTACGGGACCACCACCTTTGGGCCCAGCAGCATCCAGGTCACTCGGCAGGTAAGGACACTGCTACCCCTCCTTGCCCAGGGACCAACAGTGATGGTCAGCCTCCTGAAATGAGGGGGTGCAGTTGCCTGCAGCGTGGGGAGGGCACACCCCATCTTCAGGCAGCCCTCTGGTTTCCACACTCCTCCCTAAGACACCACCCCCTCTGCACCTCTGAGCTGGTGGTCTGGGTGTTCCGTGTTGTACTTACTGCCTTATTTTTCCAGAACATCTCCAGTGAGTAACTCTGGGCAGTGCTCAATGAAGAATTACTTTTGTTTAGCCCAGGCCAAGCTGTCCTCAACACATTCTGCTCGCGAGTCATGTTTGCAGCCTTAATGCATGAGAATAAATGCATTGATAAATGCATCCCTTCACACTGGGAAGTCACCTCATCCACTCAAATTTAAGGGGAAGAAGGTGCTGATAAAGCTCTCTGATACCAGCCCACCCCTGCCAGCAGGGATTTTGCTGAGACAAGGCTGGGCACGGACTCCCATGGTTTTGGGGGGTAGAAGGGGGTGGTGAAGATTTCGGACTGATAGCAGAGACAGATATCCAGGCAAGAGAGAACTGTATTTCTATATATATATATATTTTGACTTGGAAAAATTAAGAAAATACATCTGTAAATTACCACACTCCACAGAAACACCCACTAGAAGCTGACAGAGAGGAAAAGCAAAGTGTGACCTCCAGGACTGGTCATTGAAGTGGTCCTTGGGTTGGGGGGTGCTGGTTTGCAGAGCCTGGGATGCCCAGTAGTCCTGCTGCCCGTGCCAGGGCCATGGGGAGCGGGGCAGGAGGGCTCAGCCCAGCTGCATGTTGTACTGCTCGATGAGCTCCATGAGGTCAAAGGAGTTGGAGAGCTGCAGGCTGATGGTGTGGCTGTCCAGGGAGGAGGCTCCCTCCTGCAGCACCTGCTCGTACCAGTATTCACAGAACTTGGGCACCAGCTGCAGCAGCAAAACATTGGGGTTAGGGGAAGCTGCCTGATATAGCTGCAAAAACCTGCATAGCCCTGTCCTCCTGGAGTGCAGGGAGGAGATGTCTGGGGCACCCTTTGTCTGCCCCAACCCCTGAGGGTCCCTGTCCCTGGGCAGCTGCCTTCCACACCATCCCACCCACACCCCGAGTGTTCTCTGGCCCATTCTCTACCCATGTTTTCCCTGGTCCCCAAGGGTTCCCACCCCGGTCATGCAGCCCCTCGTGCCACCAAGGGTCCCCCTCCCCTGTCATTCAATTCCTCCACCTCTCTCAGCCCCCAAGGTACCCCCTCCTTGGGTATCCAGATGTCCATCTGCCCCAGATCCTGAGAGCTCCCAAATCTCCATCTCCACTACACACTCAGGGCCTCCCTCCTTGTGCACCCAAGCACTCGCCTCCCCTGACCCCGGAGGCTCTCCCTGCCCAGTCCCTGAGGAAACTCCATCTCCTCTCTATCACCTAGGAGTCCCCATCCCTGAGCACCCAGAATCCCACCTGCCTCAGTCCACAAGGCTCCTCTTCAGTCACCCAGACCCTCCATCTCCCACCCAACTCGACCTCGAGGGTCCCCCTCCTCAGGCACCCAGAGTCCCAGCTCCCCTGGCTCCATGAGTCTCTCCCCTTCCCTGGGGAGCAGTGGGATAGTGGTGGGTTTTGGCTACTGCACCTTGACCAGGATGAGCTTGGACTCCTTAGGCTTGGCCTTGGAGAAGGCCTGCCCAAAGCAGAGGTAGATGGTGAAGTCAGGGGATCGCCGCCTTTGGCCGTTGCGGAAGTCCCTCAGCTCTGTGAGGCAAAACAGGGCTCAGCTTTGTGGTGAGCCTGTGGTACAGAGGGGCTGGGAGGGTTTGGATGCTTGTAACATCCTGGGGCTGGCTCCCATGAGCCCCAGACCAGGCTGGGCAGGAAAAAATACACGGAGAACTACGTGACACCCCTACCCACCTGTGCAAAACTTATTGAAGTCAAAGATAGGCGTTTCCTGGTCCCGGTAGAGCAGGTTAGGTGGGGGCTCCTCGACCCCCTCGAGCTGCTGGGACAAGGCCCAGAACACCTTGCACTTCTCCCGGCGGGTGGCAAAGACCTTGTGGGCGCGTTGCTCCAGCTGCAGCCCCACCACGCCCAGCACCTCCTGGGTGATGCGCCGCTGCTTGCTGTCGGGCAGGCCGGCGGGGCTGGGGAAGCGCACCACGTGCCAGGGGCACGGCAGGCTGGGGCACTGGTACGTCAGCAGGCAGCTGCCCCCCACCACCTCCCGGTGGGACTCCTTCCCCCGGTAGTAGATGGTGACATCCAGGTTGCCATCTGCACCAGGAAGTGATCAGCGGCCGCATCCTCCAAACCAAAACGTTCCCCCTCCCCAAAGCACCCCCCCAAGCACATTTACTGTTAATAACTGTTAATTACTCTTAATTATTGTTAATAATCATTTATAGCTATTAATAATTGATAACCCTCACCTGTGTTATCCACCAGCGGCCGTGGCTGTGGCACGGGACTGATGGTGGGCACGAACACCGTCGCCTCCACTGCGTACTGCATGGGGACCGTGCCCTCCGTCAGGTGGCATGGCGGTGGCATGGCCCCTGCAGCAGGAGATGAGCAGCACTGTATCACCATTCCAGATGCCACCCTGGCCTGTTCCCACCCCATTATGGCATTCCCACAGCCAGGGCCAAATCCTGTCCCACGGCACCCACCTGTCTCCTCTGGTGGCATGAGGCCCGTTGGTTGGCAGGTGTCCAAGGTGGGCTGCTCCACCGTGGGCACCCACTGTGGAAATGTCATGGGAGGGAAGCAGCTGTTTTGGCTGGTGTCTGTGTAAGGCTGGAGCAGGGTGTCCTGGTGAGGCTGGAGCACAATGTCCTGGTGGGGAGTGTCCCCTGCAGGGAAACCAAGCAGGGTTTGGTGCTGGGAAAAGTGCTGGGAAAGGTGCTGGGATCACTCACCCAGGCAGTCACCAACCCTGCACCCCGCGAGCAGAGCTGGTCTCACCTGTGGGCACCCAGGATGGGGCCAGCGAGCCAAGGTCATGGGGAGAGATGTCACACTGCTGCAGCAGCTGCTCCAGAATCGGGAGCTCTGTGGGGTCGATGCTTTCTAAGGGGGAGCACAGTGGGTAGGATGTCTCACAGCCACAAAACCAGCCCCAGCAGAGCCTAGTGGGTGTCCTCTCCCCAAAAAAAGATTGTGGGACTAGTGCTTACCTGGGACAGCGATGGCTGAGGCCATGTCTTGGGGGTGGAGCTCCAGCTGGAAAGGGAAGGAGAATGGAACCTTACTGCTGTGGTTGCCAGGCACCCAGCCTCCCCCAGCCCACGTTTTGGCCAGGTGCTGGGCTGCAGCTTGGGAGCAGTGCTTGTTGAGTGGCAGCAGGGACCCCCCCGGCCTGCTGTGCCCACCCAGCTACCTGCAGCTGCTGTTGTGCTGCCTTCTGGTCCACCACAGGGTTGGGAATGTTGGAATCTCCATCCTTGCTGTCCTGGAGGGCGGCTGAAAGGAGAGCACCAGGAATGGGAGGCCCTGAGATTGCCCACCCCATCCAACACAGCCCCTCCATGGAGCGAGGCTCACCTGAGACAATGGAGAAGACCTTGTGGGGGTCATCACCACACTTGGAATTGTCCTGTTCCAGCTTGAACAAGTGGGTGCTGCTCAGGGCACAGCGGAAGTTGGTCTTCCACTTGGCCGGGTCCTCGAAGCCTTCCTCATACCGCCCACTGACCTTTGCCCAGGCCTGGGGGTGCAGGGAGGGGAACATGGGGTCCCTGGCTCCATGAGAAGGGAGGTTTCCAGGGATGACTGGTCTTCCCCCACCTCCCCAGCTCCCAGCCTGAAGACCTCAGCTTGCGGCTGGTCACTATCCTACCCCACGCACCTTGAAAATCCTGAGGCTGCCGCTGGCAACCCCTACCTCACCCACCTGGTGGATCTCCACGTCCCTGCTGGCGACACTCATGCCACCCACCTTGAAGACCTCCAGGTCACTGCTGGTGATGTCTTTCCTGGCGTTGTGCTTCCAGGGGACACGGAACATGGTGTGGGCAGAGTCGATCCAGCGCAGCCCCTGGTAGCTCCCGCTGTCGATGGCGCTCAGCAGCCACGGTCCGAACCGCAGCTTCTGGGGTTCCCTGCGGGCGGGGACCGTCACCTGGGGGAACCGGGCCACCCGGAGACGGCCACCCGGGGGAGCTGGGCGCCGCTTACCCCTCCTTCTCCGGCGCTGCCATGGTGCGCCGTCCGCAGAGCCGCTGTGCCGTGCCGTGCCGTGCCGGGCGGTGACCTCGGCGCTGGGGGCGGCCGCCTCTTTCCCGATGCTTTATCCGCCCCTCCCGTTTTCCTGGAAATCACGTGTCCCTTCCGAAAGTGAAAGTGCCGCGGCTCCCGGCGGGGCGGAGTTGCCGCTGCCGGGGGTGCCCGAGCGATGCTCCGGCCCCGGCCGCGCCGCTGCGCACCCCGCGCACGGCCCTGCCCAGAGTATCAGAAATTAAAATTAATAAACCGGACCTAAAGCTGAGCGTGGGAATCCCGCAGCGCGGGGGGTCGGCCGCACCCACTCCAGCCGGGGCTTCCCGGAGCTGGAAACCCCCGGGCCGTGTCCAGATGTTTATTTTAATCCTTCTTCTCCCTACTGCTTTGGCTTGCACGCTAAGGCCGTGCTGCCAAAAATGACAACCCAACAAAGGCCAAAGTGCGGCGGGCAGCGCCCGGCACCGGGGCAGAGGCGAAGCAGCCCATGGCCCCGACAGGAAGGGGGTCAAGGGCAGCAAGAGTGATGGCCCGGCTCTTCCCTGAGCCCTTTGAGCTCTGTGGGGAGCAGCAAAAACAACCCAAACTCCCCGAGAGGTTCCTTACCCAAGGGCCAGGAACGGGTGGAGGGGTCAGTGGGGCTGGAGTGTGGGACTGCAGCCTTTTTCCCAATGTGCAGCTTGTTTTTGAGGAAATATCTTTTTCCAGGAACTCCCTACTGCCTACTAGGCACTCTACATGGTTTTTCACAACACTGCCAGTTGTTTCCCAGGAAATTCCCACTTCCTTCCTAAAAAAATCCCGCATTGCTCTCCAGGAAATTTCCCAGTTGCTTTGCAGGCTATTTCTTCCTTGTTTCCTGGGAAATGTCTTCGTTGCTTTCTAGAGTCCTCCATCCCTGTCTACGATTTTCCCCTCTGCTTAGAGGATGGATCTCCATTGCTTTCCTGGGAAATTTCCACATGACTGTTACTCCCTGGTGAGAGGAAAGCTCATGTGTTTACAATTTGCTGGGTGCAGGTTGGATGTTAATGTCTTTGAAAGGAGTCCCAATGTCTCTGCTGACTTTGGGCAGCAGGTTTGTAGCAGAGTTCAGGCAGTTCTGCTCCTGAAACAGACAAGGGTCTGCAGTGCCTGAGTTTCTGAACTTTAGGGTAGCTTCAAGGTGGGATTTGTGGGAGGTGGTTCTGGAAGGCTGAACCTTCCTGGTGCCTCAGCCAATGGGGAAAGGGAGAGGGCAACATGTGGCCGGAATTCAGGATAAAAGGAGGGTGCCCCGTCTGAAACCCCGAGAGAGAAAATGCCACAGGTGGCTACCCTGGTGGAGTTTCTCACTTTATTCGAATAAAGTTGAAGAACTCCTCTGCCTCCTTTTTGGACACAAACCTCTGGTGTTTGTGGATTTTCCTCACACTGGGAAGCAAGAAATTCTTTCCCAAGAATTATCATTCATCCTCTCCAGGCAATTCCCCTTTTGCACCACCAATTCCTCCTTTGCATTATGGGAAATTTCCCCTCTCGGAAATGTCACTGTCACTTTCTTACACAATGTCACTTCTGCTTTTCAGGAATTTCCCAGGTATTTGAGGGAATTTCCTCCTTGCTTTCATGGAATTTCCCTCCTTTTATTTCTAGGCTATCCCCCCTATAGCCTTGTAGGAAATTCCCCCATTTCTTTCTAGAAATCCCCTGAATATTTCCCCCTTTGTTTTCAAGGACTTGCCCCTAGTTCTCACATGGAAATTCCTACATTGTCTTATAGAAATTGTCTTGTCCCCTTTGTTATCCAGGATATTCAGCTTTCTAGGATGGTTTCTTTTTGTGCTCCAAGAATTCTCCTTTTGGTTGCCAGGATTTTTCCTTTTATTTTGCAGGAATTTTCCCCCAGGGTTTTAGGATGAAATTTCCTAAAACCCTGTTTTTCTGTTGCAGAAAATTCCATAAGCCGGAACTGGCTCGAGCACCTGAACTCAGGACAGGGGCATTCAGCAGATCCAGCAAAATGTATTTAAGGGCAGTGAACACCATGAAACCCAAAGAGGAGCCAGGAGAGCCAGGTCAGGGTGGGAGCAAGGGACAAGGCTGACATGGACAAGGTAAGGCTGGAAAGAGCCCGGGTGGGTGGAGGGACCCTTTGCCAGAGGAACGAGTGGGAAGAACAAGGAGTGGTGCTGGCTGCTGGCTCCTGCCCCAGGGACAAGCAGCACCTGCAGGGAGGGGAGCAGAGGCGTGTTTATTTACTTTCATTCCTCAATGCTGCAATCAATGCAGAGTGGTTTCAGTTAATAGGTGATTAATTCAATTGATGGGAATTCTCCCATTTAATTTTTTTTTTTTTCAAGTAGGACCCTGCCTGCCTGGAGAGGGGGGTACCTGTCCTGCACAGCCACAGCTGTTATCCCCTGCCACCTCCCTAAGTCCTGCTGGGTCAGGGACATGTCCAGGAAGCTAAAAATCAGCCTCATTTAGGTCACCAGCTCCTGCACAGTGGAAGAAGAGCTGGAGATATCAGGAGAAAGAGTCAGTTTTACAAAGAAGTTTTTAAAAGTATCCTGAAGGACAAGGAGAGCTTTCCCTGAATCTCAGCCCTTCATTGCACCAAATTTTCCTCCAAACTTAACCCCACCATACAAACCTGCACCCCACACACATTCCTGCAGCCACAAGTCCCCCATTTTCCAGGGACAATCCTTGCAGGAAGACGGGCAAGCTGAAACTCCTCAAGTTTTATCAGCAAGTTCTCTTTTGGGGACCCTCCCTGTAAATCAAAAAGCAGCAAGGAACGGGGCACCTTAAAGAAAAAAATAAAATAAACCTTTCTCTTTTAATCCACCCAAGGGAAATCCAGAGCAAGAGTAGCATCACAGCACTACACACAGCACAGACATCTATCATTGCCTTTGCACAGATTCCTTCCCAGATACACGGAGAAGTCATTAAGAAAAAAAAAAAAAGAAAAAGAAAATTATTCACATATGCGAAGTGACAAGTAACAAATCAGCCACAGAACAACTTTTTCAAAGAGAAAAAGGATGCATCAAGGAAGAAGGCCCCCAACATACACATTTCACAAAACCTAACCAAAGAACAGTGAAACAGAGGTGGTTTTCTTTTAAACATTAAAAACAAGGCTATTTTAAAAATTAATTTAAATATACATTCAAAACACAAACACCAAGCAGGCGCCTGGAGAATAAAGCAAAAAGAAGGAATGAAAAGTGAATTCAATCAGTTTAATTTCAACACCAAAGTTGGGTGGATTGCACCAAATGGAATAAATAACGGAGAAGATCACACTGGGTTGGTAGATCTCACACTTATGATCATTTCAGCTAGGATTAATTACACAGCCCAAGAGAGTACTGAATGGGGAATTCCTCTGACAAGTGATATTAGCTGGGGCAGTGTCCCTTTGACAGAGCAGGCTGTAGGTGTGGATTTGTCCCCTGCCACCCACCCCTGATCCCCACGCAGGGAGCAAACAGGATGTTCTTGTGATGCACGGGACTCACCCCCTCCAGTGATGGACACACAAACAGCTCCCTGCTCAGAGAATGTCAACCCTCTGCCTCTTCCACACCCACGGGCTCCAGCCACACCCAAGGCAAACATCAGAGCACAACCAGACCTTGTGTGCTCACCTGGCTTGGTGAGCCCACAGATGCAGCATTTCTAACTGCTGCTTCATGAGCTTGGGCAGTGCCAGAACTGGAGCCAGTGCCTCCTTCCACACACCTGGGGTCAGGCTGGGAAAAAATCAGATCAGCTGATCTATACCTGCAGCCACACCTTTATCACTCTAGGGGTGGGCAGACTGAAGGAATGTAAGTGGCTTCTTTTTGTTTGGTTTTTCCTCCCCACAACCCTGAATAAAAAAAACCCAACAAACAAAACCCAAAGAGAAAAAACCTAAAAACAAAAACAAACAACCCAAAAAACCCCAAAATAGAACTAAAGAAAATCCCCACAAAACAAAACAACCCTGCAAAAAAACCCAAACTAACAAAACAAAACAAACAAACAAAAACAAAAAACCAAAACAAAAACAAACAAAAAAAACCCCAACCAAAACCACAAAAAAACCCCCAAAAAACCAAAAACCAAAACCAAACCACCCCAAAACAAAAACGAAACAAAAATAACTTGATCCCAAGTTCCTCTTCCGTGCCTGTAGCCAAGCAGGGAAGCACCTTTGGACATTCATGTGATCCCACAGACATGTTCCCTACAGAGCAGACACCTTATTTCTGCACCTCACCCAGATGTGCCTGTGACACCTAGTTAGGAGGGACATCCCTTTGCTTTAAAACAAAAATAATTACAAAATGAATAGGAACAGTCAGAATTCATTTAAGTCCAACTAGTTTTTAAAAAGGGAGAAGGGAGGACTGAAGGTTTCCAGGCCAAGGAACTTGCCAGAGCCAGCATCCCCCCCACCCCTGCCTCCAGCAGCAATGAGTTAAGCCCCCTTTGTGCAGCATTCACTCTTGACCCGAGGTCAGCAGAGCCAAGGAGGTGCTGAGGGGACACAGCTGCCCCTCCAGCTCCTCCTCAGATGGCTGGCAGCTCCAGGTAGAAAGGGAAACTCAGGTGGATGAGGATTGAAGTTATTTCTTTCCCATCTCTCCTCCTCCCCAAGACTGAGAGGAGACTTTGGGTCTGCAAGCCCAGTCTGTGCTTACCAGTGTCCTTAAGAATGACAATTTAAAACCAAAAAGTGGGAAATTAAAAAGAGAGAGAGAGAGAGAGAGAGAGGGAGAGAGAGAGAGGAATAATTAAGTATTGTCCGTGGAAGGAGCGGGAGGGGCGGGTTCCAGAGGCGGCAGGGAAGGGACTCTCTCCCTCCCCAGTCTGCCCATGTGGGCCCCAGGTCCCTTGGCGGCCCTGCCGAAGCCTTTGTGCTGTTGCTGTGACATGGATGGACAGGGATGGCGAACACGGGGATGGATCCGGCGCTGCAGAGCGCGGGGCACGGGCGGCCCTTGCAGGGCTAGGCCCGGCGCTTGGGGAGCAGGTCCAGCAGGAACTCCGCGATGCCCACGAAGTACACGACTTGTGCAATGCCGAAGAGAGGAGCGATCACCAGGGCTCGGCAGTAGGCCCCTTTGAAGAAGGCCGTGGGCCCTTCCCTCTGCCAGATCTTCCTGGGGAGAAATGGCACAGACAGGTAAGTGTCCATCCCACCCCTCCACCATGCCAGGAGAGCCCCTGGCTGTGCCCTGCCTTTCTGCCTCCGTCCAGAGACTAAACCCGGGCAAGCTCTATTGCCTGGCACAGCCCTCACAGCAAATCACCCATCACTGCCCAAGTGCTCTGCAAGTGGCCATGCAGGAACTTGCCCCATCCCTGCATCTGGCCAGATGCAGGAGTGGCTGCCCATGTCCAGAAGTACAGCTAAGATAACCCCATGCTTGCATCAAGAGATCCCCCTGCTCAAAAGCTCCCTCAGCATGGGACAGAGCCAGATAGCAACAGATTCTGGCTACCACCGGAATACAAAAGCAGAAAAGTCCCTTTGTGTTTTGAAGCAGCAAAGGATCAGAGGATAATTCAGCTGGGGACAGCACACTCTGGCAGTGCTCCTGCAGACACTGTGCAGAGCAGTCCCAGGAGGGATACGAGACTCAATGCTGTAGGATTTTCCAACAGTGGGGCCTTGGGAAGGACTACAACATTGCCTCCTTTTGCAGAAATAAAATCTCATGACTACTGGGGTTTGGACAGAAGTATTTAAATATAAATGCTATATTTTTCTTGCTCAATATGGGAAGAAGTTCTCTTTTATAAAACTATATTTATACATCTGCTCATATATCTATATATATCTCCAGACAGACAGATAGATTGATAAAAGCATAGGGACAGAGGGAACATGAAGCACAGCTGCTGGTTGGGTCTAGAAACTGCACTGCCTGCCTGGCCAAACACCTGATGTGGTGCCTCTGTCACGAGGAGCCTTACTTGGTGCAGTCCAGGATCCCCGAGTAGGTGTCCTCATTGACTCCTCTCTGCAAGGACTGCAGCCGCGTTTTGATCACTGGGAGGGAAAGAGAGGAGAGACACTGCTGAGCACTGGAGGTGTAGCAGGCAGGAGCCATCCTGAGAGTAATGTCTTTGAAATGGTCAAAACAAAATGACCTAGAATACAGACCATTTTCATACATTTATCAGGGAAAATAAACCCATTCCTTTACAGATGGATAAAAGAAACACAAAGCCACCCAAAACCCAACCCCTCCCTCCCTCACTGTGATCAAGGTTTCAAAAGCTGGCTTAAGCTTTAAACCTTCCAAATTCAGATATGTCTCTGCAAAGTGAGAACTTATTTTCAACTGCTCATCTCCTTCAGGAAGAGGAATCTAAAAGACACAATTCTGCTTCTACATTTCTTCACACCTTGGAGCATGTGCAGTGTTGGGGAAAGAGCAATTACTTTCTGGTGTTTTTCACAGGAGGGAAACCAAGGTGGTACTTCAGGCAGATGCTGTGGAGCAGGAGAAAAGGCCACAGATTTGAGGCTTCCCTGCTAAGAATATCTGAAATCAGTGACACTCTCTTCCTGACATACCTAGTAAGTAGTGCAAACCTGTGTGTAAGCTGTGGCCCAAGTTGTAACTCAGCTGAACTCACACCATCAGAGATGGAGCCAGCAGAGCTGTCCCTTTCTGTGTGCTCATGCTGCAAAAAGGCTGGCACAGTCACCCTCCTCCTCACCTGGCCCAGCCTGGGCCTCTGAGTCCTGCCACTTGGCACCAGGCCACCAGCACAGGCTGCTCAGGACTCACCATCACAAGGATTGACAGCCACTGCAGCCGTACTGCCAGCCACACATCCAGAGAGAAAGGACACGTAGAATGGAGCCTTGACATTGGGATCCTTCTGGCCCAGCTTGTTCAGGTTTGCAAACAGTGGGAAGTAAACAATGGAGAAGGGGACATCCCTGCAGTGGGGCAAGAAAAAAGGAAGAAAGAACAAGGATGAGCGAAGTCAGCACAGACACCAACAAACTGAGCAAAGGAAGGGCTGCAAGCATCACACATTGTCAGCACAGCCACGAGTGCAATGCAGACATCCTGGCTCTGTGGCTGCAGTGCAGACAGGAGCTGAAACTCAGTGGGGCAAAAGTGACTGCACAAAGGACAACAGGCCTGTGGGAGGCATGCAGGCCTGCAGGATCAGTGGGCTCCCCCTTTTCTCCAAACCAAAGACACCAGCACATTCAGAGGTCAATTGTTTTGACCACTTTTGTTAATTATGAGAGGTTCTATCCTGCCCTCCATCACCCTGGGTGCTGCTTTAGCTCTACCTTTGTTAAAGCTAGAGGAGAATGACACTGTGAAAGCCCAGGCAAACAGTGTCAGAGCAGGCACCACTCCTTGCATCCAACATGCTCTGTGGCCCAGCTCCCATTGCACACCCTGGGGTCTCAGGCTGACGTTTTACTCTGCCAGCTCACAAGGACTTCTGTACAGTGTGAAAATACAGACTGTGGGGCACACAAAAACCTTTCACAGAAAGCAGCAGAATTAAATCTTCCAGGAACAAAAATATACCCTCCATCACTTCTCTGACCCTTCCTTCTTTAATGTACAAAACCTGTGCATGAAAAACGAACTAAACCAAGCCCACCCCCGCTGAAGCCAACACCTCCTCTCCAGGCTCACCCCTGGGATGGGTGGTGCCTCAGGCCCAAGGCTGGGGACGCCAGTGCCCTGTGCTCAAGCCCACGCCACCCTACCTCAGCAGCCCCCCTACCTCAGCAGCCACCCTACCTTAGCAGCGTGGCTCCCAGGCCCTTGTAGAGTCCCGCGATGCCTTTGCTCCGCAGCAGCTCCCTGGTTATCTGAGTCGCTGTGGGGCGCCTTTCCACAGTCGGCTCGGCCGCCGCCGCCGCGGGGGAGGAGGAGAGCTGGGCCTGCGCCGCCATGAGCTTCTTCTGTGCCTCTGGGGAGCAGAGCGCCAGCCCCGGTCTGTGGGTGTCCCACAGCAGCCTCCTGCCTCCCGGGCCGCGCGACACGGAGCCACAGGGGCAGCACAACACGCACACAAAGGCCAGGCAGGTGCCCTGCCAGCTTGTCCCCCAGCCTACCCATTCCCTCAGCCTGTCCCAGTCCCTGGCAGTGCTGCCACAGCACAAGGCTGTCGGCTGCGCTCTCCCACCGGCCGGTTTGCCCAAACCTGTCCCACACCATCTCTAGAGTGCAGAGAACAGGAGCTGCTGTGAGCAGGCAGGGGACAGTCCCTGCTTCCAGCTGTGTCCCTGAGCTGCCAGTGTAACAAACAAGATGTTCATAAACGAGACCGTTTCCCCAAGTTCTGTTCTTTGCCTCCCTCCCCTGAAAGCAATCATTAACCTGGGGAGTTTCTCCATCACATTTCTAATCACATCCTGGTTCCTCCCACTTTTCCAACTGATGCACTTCGGCCCTTTGGCCAGAAGATGGAGAGCACCTCACTCTGTAAGTAATCCTGGCACACCACAGCTCTCCTGCTACACAGAGAACAGGCTGTTCACAGCATCGAAAACCTCTCCTGAACCCTCAAACCACGGCTTAAATCCTTCCAACATTTTAAAATAATACGCACAAAGAGGATAAGGTCTGCAGTAAAGCCAGTGAAGAGAGAAAAGAAAAAGTAAATCCGTGATTATTCAGGAATGCCACATCAAATGAGAGATTAAAGGACAAATTGGCCCGTTTTTTTATGGCCCCAGGAAGGGCCATAAACATGGTATCTAACAATGTCATGCAGGGCTCCTGGGAAGTGGGGAAGTGGGGCTGTAGCCCAGACTGACCTCTGGAAGAGACTAAGGAAAGAGCAAGCATCTCTTTCCCCCAGAGTCTCCATGCCAGACTCTGGTCTCTGCTCTCACCAGAAACACTCCACAGTGTTTCAGCCAAAAGGCTCACACTCCCTCCTGCCTCTGCCTGCCAACTCACGCCCACAGTCCCAGGAGCCTGATACCAAATCTCGTTCAAATCCAGTGCACTGGGAGAATTTTATTTACTCTTTCAACCAAGACAACTGCTGTTTTTGTCAGAGAGGAAAAAAGAGTACAAGAGGAGACAAGTCATCTGAAAATAACACATCCCCTTGGGAAGCTGTTAGGGAGGTGCTACAGGGGGGTAGAAGAGATTAAAAACAGACGTCAGAAAACATGGAGATGGAGGAAGCAGCACAGGAAAGGCACTGGAGGATGTTAATCCCTTCTTGGGTGCACAGGATCTACCAGGTTTGAATCACCCACAAGCTGACCACCCAGTCATCTCTCCTGTCTCTCCATCCACCAACAGCAGCATTTGCTGTTTTGCTTGTCAAGCCTATTGCTTTGAGCAAAAAACCCACCACCACCTTTTGTAACTGCAAGGGCCTCTGCAAAGCCAGCTGAGCAAAGTGTGGGGGGAAGGAAGCTGGGAGGAGGAGGAGAAACCTGCTACATCTGTGGCATCTCTGACGTGGGAGAGCTGGGGAAGGGAAAAGGGGTTTTCTCCACTCATCCTCTCAGCTCTGCCTTGAAAGCCCAGTCCCAGCTCCTTCCCCTCTCCCTGCTGAGGGCACAGGGAAGAAGAGTCCACGTACCAATGCGTCCTGCGTCCTGCAGCTGGATTTTGAGCATCTCCATGGGAGTGGTGACAATTACCTGGCAGGTACCTGCACCACAGCCTGCCAGCATCTCCCTCAGCAGTGTCAGCTTTTTCCTGCCCAAAGAAAAAGAGAGAGAGTCCATCAGAGGAGGTGGCCTGGAATAACACTTGGCCAGCTGGGTACAAGGCTCGAGGCCACTTGGCCAGCTGGGGGTTACAGGAAAGGCAGCCAAGGGGACAGCAGAACCTGCTAGGCCTGACAGTTCAGCACAACCTTGGCTTGGCATCTCTGCCAGCACCACATGACCTGGAGAACAGACTCATTTTGTCCCCAGAAACAGAACATTCAGAAAAGCCACAAGCCCCGTCACAACAGCCCCAGACAGGAGCACACAGCCCCCTCCACCCACAGGCAGAGCACTGCAGGTTCTTCTAGGCTGATGGTGGCCCTGGGCAGGGCACAGCTTTCAGAAAGAGTATCACTTCAGAGGGCAGCAGAGGACCTGAGCATTCTGGGGGATAAGCAGCTTTCCTCCTGCCAGCCTAGTCCTTTAAAAATTGTCAACAAACACAGACTACAGGACAAGGAACAAGGAGGGAAAATATTCAACTTGCTGCTTTGGAGTTCTCTGGGAAAAGCAAAGTAAATAAAGAGTGAATATGAATCAGGGAGGCAGTTCCTCTGTGGTTAGGAGCTGTTTCATGTTACCGGGTTTTCCAAACTGAACAAATAGCCTTTGCATTAAACTGGTTCTCCCTGAGAGACAAGGGATGGGATGGACTACCAGCAATGAAGATTTGTGTATTCTCTGCACTAGAGAGCAGGGACTATCAGCAACATGTTCTCATGCAGCAAAATGCAGCATTTCATTGTTCCCTCCATTCCAAAACTATGAAAGAGCCCAGCTAAGGCTAAAAAGAGGAATTCAGGATACAAAACCTCATAAGATTTTCAGAAAGTGATGTGGTTTTGCCCTGTAAAAAAAACCTCATGCCTTGGCACCAGAAAACACAGACTTGGTTAAAAAGTACACCTGACCTGCTCTTTCCTAAAAGGGTTTAAAAAAGAAGTGTGTATAAATCACACAGCCAGAGAGAAACAGCCTCCTCTTTCTTCTGTTTTAAATGCAAGTACCATTTTTACCTCCCCCAGCCCTGCTCTGCAGCAATACCTCATCTTAACCTGCTCGAGGCACATCCCCACGCTGTGGCAAAAGCAGTTCCACAGTGATACTTTCCACTCCCTTGCACAGCCCAGGCACACTCCCTTGCCAGGTGTTTCCCAAGCACACACACAGCACAGCTGTGGGGCAGTGGGCCAGCAAAGCAGTTTCATTGCCAACCCTACAGGAAAGGGAGGGCAGATGCACAGTAATCCTGCTGGCCCACCACGTAAGCTGTGCCCATTTCTCCACCTCTCATCTTCTCTGGAGAGGATATGAGAGCAGGGGATTAAAGGCACAGAGCCACAACAGAGATTACCAGTGACTAAATATAGAGCTCTCCTATAAGGCTGAAAGAAGGAATATTTCAGTCTCCCCTTTCCAAATCTCCCCACAGATGAGGAACTGCAAAGAACAATCCCTCCCACGGAGTTACCCACACGGGTTCTGAAGTGTGCACAGCAGGCTTTCCTGGAGGTGTGGGGGAACTAGGGTGTGCAAATCCAGAGGTTCCCACTGCCACTGCCACTTGGAGGTGACCAACTTGTGCCTTTTGGGTGGCCTGAAGCACAGCACCAGTCTCTGAGTGGCTTGATACAGTCAGCAGCAAGGCTGCACAATCTCCAGCCTGGCTGTGGGAGGAAGCAAACCACCCAAAGGAGCTGGCTGCCAAATCTCTCCTTGGCACAGCAGAGCATCTCCCACTTTAGCAAGAGCCCTGGAGCATCCCTAGAGTACATATCTTCTGGCTTTCATCCAGGGTGACTGCTTTGATAACCAGTTCAAAAGATCAGGAAAGATTTGGCCTACATATTCATCTTGGACCATTATCCCAGCCAACTAAAGTCAGCCATGACTTGACTGAACTCCATGGAGCTATGCCAGTATGGCCCAAGGAAGGATTTACACATGTGGGTGTACTTTAGAGATGTCAAACAGATACATCAAAAGCATCTAGAACAAGGGCTTTCAGCTTTGGGTTTGCACATCCTGGGAACTGGGGAGAGTCCAAGAAAAAAAGTAGCTTAGGATAAGCAAATCTTTTGACAGGAGGTTTAAAAGCTGCCATACAGGGGTCAAACTGCCTTTGCAAAACCTCACCAGTCTGCACATAAAAGGAAAGTTTGAAAACTGTTCATCTCTACACAACAAAGGAGTTTAAATATTTAAGGCACCACTGGCCTTATCCTCAGTGGTTTAAAAACCAGCACATCTCAACTAACTTCAAAAGCTGCAACACCAGCAAAGATCTGATCCTACAAATCCAGAAACCATCTTTTATCACAGCAAGGGAGTGTTAAATATAACATATACACAATAGCCTCAAATTCTGCACTGGCAGAAATCAGTTGTTCTACATTTTTTACTGACATACTATTAATTTGTGACAAGTCAAAAATGTCAAATGGGAAGGCGAGGAGATACATGCTTGATTTAAATTAGAGTTTCAAACTACAGCTGAAAAAAAAGTCAAAAAACAGGAACTAGAGGTTTATGGAAGGCTTTTGGGGAGCAATCAGTTCAAAGTTAGGATCTCTGACAGCATTGATATATTGATGTCACATGGGAGCAGTGTAGGGTTTTTTTCAAGTTTCTCAGAATCTTGACCATGTGGGAATTTACTGTGTTTGGGCAGGGACCAGAACCAGCCATTCTGGAATCAGGATAACATTTCCAGAGAGGAAATCTCTGAGCTAAAGAAACATCCATCCAAAGCAATCCCTTTTTTTTTCCTACCCAAAAGGCTACTGTCCCCATCTTGGACATCACCTTCCTCACTCATAAAATAACCTCTGCCTCTGTCAGCCCAAGAGGTTGCAGAAAGCTCCCCAGGAGTTTCAAAGCAGACAGAGCCAGTTCCTTTCAAACAATTTACATTGTGGGTCTTTGATATGGATTAGAGGACCAGCACACAGGAGTTGTGCTTCAAAGGAAGAGCACCCTCTCTGCCACAGTCACAGGGGGATGTGCACACAAACTGTCCTTTAATCCAACCCCTGATTTTCCAAGGAGGAACAAGCTACTGCAACTGCACCTCAGAAAAGCTGGAGCTACGATGCTGGAAATGTAAAAGCAATACAGTTCCCACTACAAGCTCCCTCTCACTTCTAGTGCCAGCTCAAAAATGCCTCAGACAAGCCAAATAAAGTACTGATGTGGAACAGATACATCTCAAAGTAACATGCCAGATTAAATGTTGATCTGGAAGCCATTATTCCAGGAATGTACAGTTCTGTGTTGCATGTTTGGACTAGGTCAAGAGGAGTTGACTCTTTACCTGCATCAGGTTTGCCCTGGCAGGAAATTCCAAGTGTTTTGTTCCTATGTGAACATTTGTGGAAGTGAACAATGGACAGGGTAACACGACTGAGCATGTTGAACACAGACACAACCCACGTTTCATCCCAAGACATGTGCCTGGAATGATGACAAGGACAATGCTCCTCCCATGGGTGCATTCTGTGATTAAACAGCACATCTCTATCTCCCTCCAGATTAACAGTTGAAAGTGCATTTACTTTTTGGCCGACCTTTGATGTCAACAGCTTCAACCCACTTCAACTGCCTGGCCTCTGTGTACTAAATAAAAGAGCTCTCCCCAAACAGCTGTTCCTGAATTGGCACAGTGACATGATCAGCTCCTGTCTCCTTCTGAAGGGGAAGGGAGAGATTTCCTCAGTTCCAAGTCTCAGTGAGTTGGATGAGGGCTACCTACACTAAAGAAGTGCCAGAGTATCCAGTGGATAACTGCAGGAGAGGCTGCCTGGGCACACAAGTGCCAAAGAAAGACCAAGCACAGTCTTGTGCAGGGTGATACAACAGCTCACACCAGGACTAGCAGCAGCACTCCTTCTTCCTAAATTGAGAGCCTCGCTTTACAGCCTGACTAAGAGTGTTCTGCAGCTCAAGGATCATCCAAGCCATGCAATTGATACTTAAACTCATGCCACAGAAGAGATGGTCCAAGTATTTCAGGAGAGCCTGAAAGAAGAGCAGATGAAGGAAAGAGCCCTGGGGACATATATCACTTGGGAAGGCAATGGACAACAAGCTCCAGTCTCCACAACTGCATAAGACTGAAGGAAAAATACCTCGCTTGTCCCAGTTGGCTATTTCTCTTCCTTGTGCAAAGATACAAGACAAGAGGAAGCAGAATAGAAAAAAATTTTCTAGCATCAGCAGAGGCAGAATTAAGTCAGTCATGCTGGTCTTCCTAGGAATCTGAGCTGCTAAGACAGCAGATTGCCAGCCTTTGCTTCAGAAAACAAACAAAATAAAGGTCAAGATTAAAGAGGACAGGATGAGTAAGGGAATAACACCTTGGAGAAGAGCAGCAGGAAACTCATCCAGGGACACTGGAAAGTTTTTATGAGCAACAAATTGCTTATGTAAGAAGGCATGAGACACTTTACTGCAGCCAAGGCAGAATATTTAACCAAGAACCTGAAAAATGAACAAAACCTGGCAAACACATGCCCAACAAAACAGCTACCTGGCACTCCACACTTTGGAGATAAACACAAAACTTTGTAGAACACTTTAAAGAAACTGGTTTATGAAGTGTTTAACACCCAGATTCAAAGAGGATATAAAAAGCAGGTAATACTTAAATCAATCAAAGAGGCCTCCCACACTGAGTACCCAATAATCAATGATGTACTTTAAATGCTGGTGTACTATCAATCTAAATTGCCTTCTCAGCTTCATACCCAAGTGCTTCATAGTCAAGCACTTCACTTAGCCCTGGTGACTCCTCACATCCTCTGCTCTGGACAATGAAGCCAGTCCTATTTTAACAGCAGCCATGAAACTGAGTCTCTCAACACATGCAGTTTCAAAAAGCCAGAGTTTTTAAAAAATCCCATCTGTTTCCAGCAGCCTGAAGACCTGGTTTCCCATCTCTCCACATTCTGCCTTCCCCAGCCTAGTGAAAACTCTTCCCCACAGAAAGACACAGGAACAAAGACCTGCCTGGAGACTCTTCTGTGGGCCATCTTCTTCTCCTGGGAATTACAGAAGCTCTTAGGTCAAAATCATCACAGGAAATCACTTGACCTTATCACCTTTGTCAATCATGGTCATGGAGTGCCCTTCAGGTTTCTCAGTATTTTGGTCTCCCTCCTCTCCTCCACAGCATAGCAAGCATGTCTTCAGCACTTACACAACTCACTCAGGCCTTCATCACTCCTAAATGACCAGGACAGCTTGGAAGGACCAACTCAGTTTTCTTTCTTGAGAAAACAAAAAAGCTGTAGCTGTAGGCTGTCATAATGGCCTTGACATCAAAATAGAAACTGGCAAAGAAATAGAAACTGGCAAAGAAGCAGAAATGACGTCCCCCAGCCTGTAAGCACACATGCTCCCTGCACCAAAAGGAGGGGAAAAGCATGGTGCAGGCAGGAGTGCCTTCCTGAGTTAGCCTCAGGCTGGAGAGAGCTGCAGGAACACACACCTGCACACTCAGGGAGAGAGCTGCACCAACAAGGACATGAGATCCCTTGTGAGGATCTGCTGCCCCAATGCTCTACCCCCAGCAGTGTCCAAGGGCACAGTAAGGGAAAAGGGAGTCTAGCACAAAGCTGTAGTGATAACATCCCTAAAATACTCTTCCAGCAATGCGCAGTCAGGAGCTTCCTACACCACAGGTGCTGTTTTCAGTCTGGCCTTTCAAAAATAGGCTTTATGCCACTTTTTTATCCTGGCAGTTTAAAAGCAATTTCAACACTAAGTTTTTCAAAGGATAAAAATAAATACATTAATGCACACTGAAAGCCGTTGTTTAATTTGAGGCTACTTTGAGTCATGCTGGAATTGCCACACTCTCTCTGGTCCACACGTGCTTCCTCCTCTTGCACATCGAGGTCTACTTTAATACCACATATTTCAATCAGCAAATACTGGTAGAACATGCATATTTTATAAGAAAAGGATTACCAACTCGTGCAACATATTTCAGGCAAGACAAGTGCTACATGCTTAGCACAAAGGCATTCAATGTAAACAGAAGAATTCTGCAGCTTTGAGTCAGAGCATCCTTTGGGATACTGACCTAAGGGCACAGCATCTATGAAAATACACAGCAGACAGACTGGTTTGTGCAACAAGGACTTTGAGGGAGCTGAACCAAGATCTTGCTGATCCAGCCTTACATTGATCCTAACCCCCTCACTGTGCTTTGCCCAATGTATCACCTTGACTCATGCAATTACACATCAAGAAATGAAACCATATTCATGTGCCAGGCAGCTCCAGGCTTCACCTTTCTAACCCCAAGCTATTTTCTTGTTCATAACTAGGCTTTGGCTGGAATTGTGAAATAGGTGGCCCAGCCCTGTGATGTGCTAGCAGGTATGCACCCTGTTGGGTCCTGGGGAGGAGAGGCCTTTAAATTCCAGCACTGCTGATCCTGTCCCATCTTACCAAGGCAACTGGGGAGGATGGGACAGAAGCATCCCAAGGGACAAAACTACCAGATCCCACATTCATAGCCTGTACCAGACACAGCAAACCTGCAAGGTATTTTTCTTCCCATCATATTTTGCAGTGACATTTCTAGGTAGAAATACCTTAAATCATCAAGGCTCTGCCTCTCTGTCCAGCTCACACTGGCAACCCTCAAGAGCACAGCTGACCAGATTTCACTCATCCAAGCCCCCCATGGTGGTTAAATAAGATGAGTGACTCTGACTCCACATGCTGCTCTTGTCACCTAACTGTGGTCCAATGTCTCTTTTCTCTAAAGGAACTAAAATGCTCTGTGTTGAGAAACAAAGACCTCCCACTACCTGGGTGGTATCATGCTCCTGCTCTAGGTCACTGTAGTGCCAGACCCATCAGTATGTAAGATTTAGGAGAACAGGGTGTCTTGCTCTTGGAAAAATTCTCTAGCTCCTTTATTCTGAATTAAGTGCAGCATATCATCTATGTCATGTGTGCACCAGCCAGTGACCCAAAAGTCAAACTGGAAGAGGTCTGAGTGAAAACCTCAGCTACTCCTGGAAACAGCTGTACCCCACTTATTCAAAGACCTGTTCAAAGCTGGACTCAGCACTGAGGCAGACACACACCCTGGTCCTCTGAGGAAGCCTTTACCTCATGGTGCAGGACATTGACTGATAGGCATGTCCCCTTCCATGTCCCCTGGCTGAAACATCACAGCAGTGATTGCTCTCCCAGAATACCAAATATGTTGCAATGCTAGTCTGATTTCTTCCATGGAACCATTCCCTTAGTGGCAGTACAAGGTGTGGCAGCTTGGCATCTTTTTGGGCCTGTACAGGCCACTAAGGCCCCACTTTGTAGGTGGTGGCAAAGAGCTGTTGTTTACTGCAGTACACCAAGGTGTGCTGGGCTGTCTGCTGCAGGGATGAGACACTCCACTTGGTAGAGGACATCATTACCTCCCACTGTCTGAGCAGAGCACAGAAGAGACTATTCAAAGATTTGAGTCAGAAAATCATGAAGAGCTGTGAGCCGATGAGTCACACAGACATATGTTAGCTGCTACTTTAAAGGACTCCAGAACAAAAGAAAAAAAAAGAAAAGGTACAGAGAAAAAATGGATTCTCAATCTGTGTCTGTCCACAATGTCCACTGAAGTTGTTGAGACACTGGTCTGCACCAGCCAGGACTGATGTGATATGTTTTGGGAAATTGTTAAGCCCAGTAATCGTGCTGGAGCTTTGCATTTTCACTGAGGCCCCACCCCATTACTGTTGATGGGAATTGCTGGGATCATATCCCAAGCAGGCTGTCATTTTAGTGACTGTCACCAAGGACTGGAGACAATGCCCTTGCCTGCCTCTGGGGAAAGGCCTCTCTCTGATGGGCGACACAACTATTTCCCATGCAATTTGGAAACATCTTGGTGAAAGCAACATTAAATATTCAGGATCCAGCTCCTCTCAACTGCTCTAGCTTATGCCTTTTACTCACATTTAATTCACATGAACCAAACTCCACTTGCAAGCTGAACCAGTAATTTTATTCCTTCAGCATTTATTTGAAGGTCAGCTGCTGCAAGTGCCTTTAGTTAATTCAGATTTACCACCTCTCTAAAACTATTTTCAAGGTACAAAAGGAGAAGAGGGGTGCTAAGTTTGGGGTCTACAGAGCTTGACTTGATACCTTTTCAAGCCAGAAAGAACGTGAGAGGATCCAATAGGATGCTGAGGACAAGAGTCCTCCCAGCAGCTGTTTGAGCAATGATCAGTGACATTGGGTTCCTCTCAAATACTTAGACTACACATTCTGGATCTGCTAACCTTGGCTTAAATCTGGGACTATTTTTAGAAGCTTGAGTAAAGAGCAGTCATCCAGTGGAGTGCTTCATGCTTCCCATTTTAGACATTGCATCCTTAGCCTGAACATAATCACCAGCTGAGCTGTTCAAGGTCAAGTCATATTTCAGTCACTGCACTATCCCATTCCACCTTCTCCTGAAGTCTCACCAGACGTGTTGCAAGAGTCAGTGTCTTTCAAGCTGACTGCAGAAGGTCAATTCCCTACTCACCCATCTTTGGAGAGGTGATGCCGGAAGAAGTCATTGGCTGCCAGTTTGATAGCCTTTTCTGGTGTCACTAGAGTCAGGTTCACTGCAGCCCCTGGACAAGGAAAAGAGAAAAAGGCCATTGGATAATGAGAATAATGGAATTGTTAACTGGATCTTTCAGGAATGTGTTGTAACTTCTGCACAAAACCACAGACAGAAGGAGGAGAGCTCCCAGTGCACCAAAGGGATTTAGAAATACAAAACACCACTGAAAATTAACAAGTGTTTCTGCCTCCCAGCACCTTGAGTTTGTGAAAACATCCCCAGATGTGTTTCTACTCCATTTGCCATATGTATTTTGTAATTTCTTCAGCTTCACTACTACCTCCCACCATGTATACATGCATCCCTGTCTTTCATCCAAGGATGCACTCCTATGAATTCAGAAGGATGTAGATCAAACCTTCAGAAAAGGAGTACAAGATGGTTTAACAACCAGTCCCAACTCCTTTGCAAATATTTTGTGGCAGGGGGTCTTTTGAGAAGCAAAAGACCCCCTGCCACACCTTCTCAATGGATTCCTTCCCTGCTTCCTCCCCCAAAAACCCAGAGCAGCTTGAATTCTAAGCAACTCAGCAAAGGCAGAGCCATTGAAAGACCTGGAGGCTGGCTGAAGTCACCTGGCTCATCTGCACAGAACCAGCTCTAGACCAGCCCTTAGAGCAAAGTGGCTTCCCCTGTGTGTCACCACTGGGTGTCACCCCCAAAACGGCCACCGCTGAAGTGGCTTTTTGCCCACCACAAGCTACAGCACACAGAAATTCCCCTCTGAGCTCCATGGCAAGGCTTGCTGGGGGACCTGGGGTGTAAACAAGCCTTGGCTCCCTGCATCCCCCACCCGCTGGAGTGCCCTTTTGTCAGGAGCAACAAACAGCAAATCCCTGTATTGTGCCTGTCACAATGAAAGGCCTGCATGGCCTGGCTGGCTGCTGTGGGTCTGAACACCGGTATTAGTGCAACATCAGTGCTGCTGGGAGCAGCTTTCAAGCTGCCCTGGGGGAAAGGGGGTGAGGGAATAGCCAGTCACTTCCCAGCAGAGTGAGGTTTGCACCATTAGATTAACACTCCAGAACATTCCCCTCCATTTAAATCCTACAGCCTCAAGCTCTCCCTACCTGCACTGAAATGTACTGAGCTCCAAGCCCTCCAAAGGAGCTACACTTGAGAATGGTTAATGGCCTAGAACACCTTTGTAAGAACAAACACAAATACAGACATTTATGCTTGTCTTTGAGATTTAAACAATTTAACCCAAAGATTCATATTCCAAAGGGCAGCAGCCAGAGAAGCCTGTACCCCCACGAGGTTCCAAAGATGTGGTGGGGTTCATTTTCAGGACCTCTGAACCCAAGTTGACAGGAGCTATAAGGGCTAAAAACACCTAGAGAAAGTCAGCTCAATCTTTTATTCCTCAGGATGGACTCCCCTCCCTTCAAGAACTGAAATACATAGGTTTAGGGGGACTTTCCTCAGATTAGGACACAAAGTCACAATGGGACTTCTGGAACCACTACAACAGGGAGTGGGACACAGGAATCCTTGGCTCCACATCCTCTGCTCAGAAGACACATCTCCACCATTCAGAAAACTGCAGCAAGAAAAGACAGCCTTTGCTGCACAGGGCTGGGCAGCCCAACACATCTTCCCCCTTTTCAACTCCCATGTTCAGATTTTGCAGAAAATACAGAGTAGTGCTGCCTCGTAGCAAGCCAAAGCAATGCGTTCATTCCACACTTGTCATTTGTTTCATCCAACAAATGCCATCATCTTTCACAGTACACAAATCAACTAGCAGGGAGCAGGGCAGGCCTCTCACACTTCTGGTTCTTTGCAAACTTTTAAGGGCACCAGTGATTGTGCTGCTTCAGTTTGATATTCTTCCTACACATCATGTCCCCTCTTGCACACAAAGAGAAGCCACACAGAACCTTCACACTCCACATCCACCTTTTAATGCCAATCATATCAGGATCTACAAAGCAAATCCACACAGCCTCATTTTAAGTGTAAATGGCTACCCATGAAGTGTTTCCTCAAAGGCCAAGCTGGCACCAACTTCAACAACACTCCCAATGGCTATGAAGTGTAACACCTGTACACTGACACAGCATGAATAACCCTTTCCTTGGAAAAACAAGAAGAGAAAGGAAAAAAGCATAAAGCTGCTACTCTTAACACCAGTGCAAAGGGTTCACTAAAGAAAGCAAACAAACTCCAAACTATCAAGCAAGAAAGGCACACAAGAAGTGTGTACACTTCCACACTCTGACCACCTTCAGGAACCAAGAGGCTTTCACAGAAGTTTCTCTTCAATTGCAAATAAAGCAGAGGGTAAAATCACACAACATATACAGGAAAAAAGTTAATGAACCTGAGTTTTCTCCTACATCTTTGATATTTTCAGTAAAGCTGCTTAGCAGAGAATGGATAATCCCTGTCCTGAATAATCCATAACAGCTTCAATTTACTGGAGGAGGAGATATTAGATACTCCAGCTGCTGGCTGTATGCTTTCCACAGCATCTCCTCCTTTTGGTAAAATCTCCTCAATCCTGCCCATGCCAATGCGTACTTCCCTAACTAAAGCCAACCTTGGCCTACAGGCAATGTTACATGTACCACAAGCAAAGACAAACAGAATGGAAAAATAAACAGGTGGAAAAATAAACAGGAATCATTAAAAAACAAAGCTTTTTAAAAATAAGTAAGGAAGCACTACAAAGAACAAAATCAACCAGAAGCAAAACTAGCTTTTTGCAACTAAACTTGTAGGTGCCCTCTTCTCACCAAGCCTTGTTTTTTCATTAAAACACATTTCTCACAGAAGTCCTTATACACCACCAGCAACCTACATAAGAGGGAGATTGAGTCATCCCCAGTGCAGCACTGGGAGATATTATTAGCAGAGGCCAGGGAAGGCTGCCATACTACTGCAGCTAAGTGTAGCTACCCTCCAAATGTCACCAACAGCAAAGGGAACTTCCTCAGCCTGATCTGGGCCTTTGGCTCCTGCCAGCTTGGCTAAACACTTGGTCTGCAAACAGCACTGGGATTGCTCAGAACACGTGCTGGGATCTTTAGGTGGCTTCTGGCTGGACAGCAGTAGGAAGCTGAGGGAGCATCTCCCCAAGATTGCCTATCACTGATGCCCATGGGGATCAGGAGCCCACAGGCACTATGGATTCATTCACTTGGCATCATGTTTTAAGGCTGCACACCATCAATTCCTTGAGCACAGACAGGGCTGGACAGCACCATCCAGCATCAAGGCACTGCTGCTATACAGACACTATGGGGAAAAACATAAGGGAACTCCTCTTCTTCCTGTCCCAAACAAATCCAAGAATTCCTGTAAATTCTGGAGAAGAACTTGAGAGAAATGTTGGGATTGCCTTATACATCACACAGTTTGCTATGGGCTACTCATACAAAGCAAAGACTTTGCCCACACAAATATCTTAAGAGGTGATTTGCAGAAAAGCATCCTACAAACACAAGGCACTCTCCTGTCTGCACTGAGGAGATTTGATTCACCCACGAAGAAGCCCTGAAGTCAGCCCAGCAGGAATGGCTGTGCCCAAACAAACCCTTTCTGTCCTCTGACAGAGGCCAAAGGATCTGCAGGGACAAGTGACGTGCTTGTGACTCCTCCATGGGGAGCTGCAGCTGCTACTTTAGCACATTAAGATATAATCCTCCCAATTTCAGCTTAAAGCCTGCAAATAGGAGCTTGTGAGTCATTCAGCAAATTCTGCTGGGGAACTAGGACAGCTGGAGGGAGCAGGAACCAATCCCACCACCTGATTTCCATCTTTCTCTGTCTGCAAGGCTGAGATATCTCTTTACCTTTTTTCCAGAAAAATACTCACATAATCTTCATGGACCTTGGATGTATTTTACCCACCAACCCTCTCCCTAAGAGGGTGGGAAGGTCTGCTCATGTCAGCTCACAGAACTGAGGCACAGGGACCAGGATTGCTGCTCTTGGGACTACTCACATTTGCACCATGGCCATGCTGAAGCATCTGTAATTTTCTGGAAGGAGCTGGAGCTATTGAAAAAAGGCCTCTCCAACCCAGCTCCCTATTTAATAGTCAGAAGTAATTTCAATCAACTATCAGCACCCTGAACAGAGTTAGAGACATAGACCAAGCTGAGCAGACTTGGGAAAGGTTGGGAAAAGAAAGAGGTATGCAAAACCCTCTGTACCCTTCTGCTTGGGGATGACAAGTGGCCTGGAGATCCACATCCTCTCTACCACTCTAAGCCTTAAAGGACTAGGCTGTCTCTCCCAAAAGTCCTGATTCTCACAAAAACTCTTGGTCCTACAGTCTCCCCTGTAAGTTTCCCCAAACAGCTTCTTCCTTTTGCCTCCTGCCAAGCAGCCTGCCAGGGCACATTTGCAGTTAAAAGTTAACACAAGCTCAAAATCCTGGCTAGGAACACAGCAGCAGCCAGATTCTGGAAAAAATCAAAGGGGAACACGTCATAGCTAGCATTGAAGATGGAGCTTGCCAGGGTTCCTTGAGGTTATTTGTCTTGTTGCCTGCTCCCAGGAAAGCTGATGCAAAGCAGCCAATCCATCCCTGCCATCCACCACACTCCCCTGAAACGCCCACCAGGAAGTTGGGCAAGAGACTCTGCCTGAACATCCAATGCCTGCTCCTGGGCTGGCCAGCCACAATGCCTGTGTTTCCTTAGGAGCAGGGAAGAAGCAGCAAGAAACACTGCATGTGCCAAGAGCAAGGTGCCAGCATCTTTGGAGTTCCGCTTGAAAAAACAAAGAGCAAGGACTCAATTTAATCATAGCAGCATAACTTTAACCAGGCTTTATCAGGGACTGAGTGCCACCAAGAATGCTATCTAAGCACCCAGATAAAAACTGCATATGCAGGCAGGTGACTATCAGCATACAGAATGAGCCAGAGCTCAGGGTCAATGAAGCCAGCTGAACCGTGCTGCAAGCCAAGAAGGTATTCCATGTTTTCCTCTGCTACAAGTCAAGTCAGAATTTGGCCTGCTGGCCTCCTCTCCTCAAAATCTTTAAAAACTTACAGGGGATTTTGTGTTTAAATTATAAAAGGTATCATGTCAGCTGAGGAACTCACTGCTGTAATAGACAGCCTGAGCCAAGGAGCCAAGAGATTTCAAGCAGGCCAGCACAAAGCAACCAAACAGGTGAAGCTCCACCCCGAGCCAACCTCTGATTTTCTTACCATTCCAAGGGAGTTTTTTTGGAGAGCAGGTTATTTTAATTTTTTTTTTAATTGCAGCTTGTCTTAATGCTTGAACAGGGCACTTGGGCATGCTTGAGACAGCAGGCCTAACCATGCTGGTGGAGGGTTTTGACATAAATTCAATCATTAACCACAGAACTTCAAGAGCTGGTTTGCTACTGCCCCTCTGTCAAAAGCTACCATGCCCAAGCTGGGAAACATAATATACAGTCCTGACACAAAGTCCAGCAGCTTCACTTAAACTGCTAGTAATGATGAACTTCACTAAGTGGTAAGGTTTAACACCAAAACAGTCATTTGGAGGACTCAAGTCCTCAGTGGTAGGTATCTGAATAGACACCTGCATGGAGTTTATTTTAGAAACAGCTGCACTGTTCAACCTCCTAGGATATTGCCAGGTTATTGCTTTATATGCCAGAGAACAGAGCTTTTCCTCCTACTTACGCACCAGTGCTTCCAACGCAAAAGCTGTGCTGTGCCTGAGTCAGCTGTACTCACCTCGGTACATGCCAAAGTAGCCTTCCGACCGAATCGTTTTAATGAGGCAGTCAGACCTGCAAACACAATAGAGGGAGATGAACCACAGCACCTCAAAGGTGGGGGAGTGCAGAGAAAAACAAACAAATTTCTTGGAGTGGTTTCCATTTACATTCTGTCAGCGAAACCCTCGGCTGAGATGGGAACCACGTCAGCCTCTGAATGTGCCGTTGTTGAAGCCTGAGTCCCATTTCAACCCCTAACCCACAGGGGCTTTGAAACCCCTGGCTCACCCTGCACACACTGTCTGCTTTCTAGAAACACAAAAGGGAGAAGTGTCACTGCAAGGGCTGTTTATCCAGGGTCCCCGGTGGCAAATGCACATTAAATGCTCTAACAAGCAGATCCCCATCGACACATTTTTAAATCCAGCTCTGGAAGGGAAATGAGGGGGGTCAAACCCCCCATGCTGACTTGTTTGTCTTAATCTGTGAAATTTGACACGAGGCACACAAAGATGAGATGACCTGAACACTCAGTCATCTGTGGCCTCCCACGAAAATTAAAGCACACACTTTTAACACATCAAGTCCCACAGCAGGCAGCAAGCACTCGGGCTCTTGCCCTGAGGACAGTGTGGCAGGGTACCCTGCTCCAAGGGGAAATCTGTCACCTTCCTTGTTGCAAACACATTTACTACAAATGGGAAAACCCTGCAGAGCACTGGAATGGCTCAAAGGCTTTTGAAGGCACAGACACACGCACACCTAGCAAATCCAAAGTCACTGTTCAGGACGGCTGCATAAATTCCCTGGCAGAGTTTCCCTCTCTGGACCACAGCTGCATGAAGCTGGAATGCTGAGTATCTTTGGGAAGAGACAGGTACTTGTTGTAGCCATAGAGGAAGGGAGAGGTGCACTTGCATGTATATGTACATAATTTAAGGAATAAAAGGCTCTTTTCAGTAGTAATAAGAGAAGTGTGGCTGATGAAAACACAAATACATTTTTAAAAGATTTGGCAACACAAGGAGTAAACTTCTCAGCTCTGCAGTAGTGCTGAGGTGGAAGAGAAGGAAATACAGAGCTTCCTTGAGGGCTTTATGGCCATGGGCAAAGACTGTTACAGAGTTATGTGTGAAGAGCCATCCTGCTTTGCTACCAGTCATGGCAATGAGTCTCCCCTCTGCTGGGACTCCTTGAATCCTTTGGCATCTCATCTTTCACACATTCCACCCTAGCCCCTGCAACTTGCACATACTCATCTCCTTCCGAGCAGCCCCTCCAACTCATCTGCAAGCCCCAGAAATCTCAGTGCACCTCCCTCCTATCCCTCCTGTCAAGTTCTCACACTGCAGTGCTGAAGGCAACACATTTTCCCTGAGCCAGTGATGCCGCAGCAGGGAGAGGAGTGAGAAGAGCTGCTCCCCACCATATTCATACAGCCCTGCTGCATCAGGATAGAGCTTGCATGTCACTTAAAGCCCCTCAAGCTGCAGCAGAACAAGATGCAGCCAAGGCCACATCCAGCGTTCTTCTCTCCCTGGAAAAAGGGAGCCAACAGCCAACGAAAATTATACTAAAATGGAACCTCCACAGTAACACACCTGGGGCAGCACAGCCCAAAAGCCAAGCTCTCTCCTTCCCTCAGAAGTGTCTTTGTCTTTTTAAAGTGAGAGGTTCCCCTGATGCCAAAGATCTCTTGAGCTAAGCATAAGCAAGGCATACTATCCTAAAGTAAGAGAGCCAACATTTTAAAGGAACTTGCTGCCTTTCTTGGGTGTTCAGCAGACACCAGGTAATTGGTGTAATCAGAAGATCTAGTACTGATGGGCACACAGCATTTCCAGAAAAAAAAGCTGCTGTAACTGGGGAAACTTTCTTAGGAAAGCTCAGCCCTTCCTGTTCTTAGAAGCAGCCAGTTCAAATATACAGTGTAAATCTTATGTACTCCTTAACAGCTCCTGATCTCACAGCAATTCCTGGCTATGGAGCTGACTTGCACTTGACTGCTGGAGGTTAAAAGCCTCTCTCCTACCGAGCTCCCTTCCAGGCATGAGACATCCTGGCATACAAGTTCTTCAACCTGCCTAAACTCCTCCTGCTGTCAGGTGAGGAGGGTAAATGATCCTCAGGGAGGTGAAGCAATCTACAGCAGGAATAGGACACAACAAAAGGGGATGCAAAGCAATATGGGCAGCCACATCCTGCCAACAAGCCAGGGCACACTGACAGTGCAGGGAGCAGAGAGCACAGGAACTATCAAGGGAAGCACCAGAGCCTACAGCCTAAGCTCATGTCATCAGCTAGAGCAAGGAGGCACAGAGACTAAAGCCATCAGCAGAGAGAGCATTTCCTTGCTATTCCCCCTCTGCCTCAAATTCTCCTGGGCAGGAAAGAGGAAAAGATGGTGTGGAGGAGCGGGAATCAGGTTACACTAGTTCTAAACAAAGTGGTAGGAAGACGGGACATACCTCACCAGTCCCAGTCCCTTCTTCCCCTCAATACCACAAATTCTTTTGAAAAACTAAGGCCTGTCTCTGGTTCCCAGGATAAAGCATCTTGTGCTAAGTGTGGTACCCATTCTCACAGGAGATATGCAGCCCTAAGCACTCGACACAAACTCCAAGTGAATTTGGTGGGCTGGATACACTCATGCCTTCTTTCCTACAGGTGCAGTACCTGGGGTTCTTTTGGACAGCAGATGGCTGGTCTAACTATAGCATGTGTCATCCTGTGATCCTTCAAAAGGTCTGCATGCAATGTTCTAGACTGGAAATGAGTGACTGCTTCCTCTTTCTAAAACTGACACAGCAAAGGAAGGATCTCCAATATCACAGCAATGGAAACAGAACAGAGGCAGAAACTCCCTCAGGCACCTGACCAGCTCAGCAGACTCCTTGTGTTCGGGATCAGATGATTGGGATTCCTTGTGTTTTGGTTCTGAGCCCTAGCAGTAGTGAACATGCTGCTCCCAAGCAAGGGATGCAAACAGATGTGCCCTCTGCAGAGGACTCCCCTGCTCAGCTCAGCAGCCTCAAGAGCTGCCCTATTTGCTTTATCTGTTCTAGCACAGCTTGGCTCCAGACTGTCCCCTGGTTTTCCTGAGGACAGCCCAGTTCCTAGAGATGCTGAGCTCACCTGAAAGAGGTAACAAAGTGGAAGGACTCCTGTGGAAAGCCCCAAGGGATGGTGCCCGTGTGGGCAGTACTCACAGGCTGCTGTACATCCGTTGGCCATTTTGCTGGTTCTGCAGGCGAGTTTTTGCCAGGTCAATGGGAAATACACAGGTGACCCCGATCAGCCCAGCTATCCCTCCATTGATCAGCTTGGCAGGTAAACTGTAAGGGGAAGAGATAAACAGATGCCTTAGCACTGGGTAATATCAGGGAAGGGAAAGAGCAAAAAGCTGAACTCTTCTGCGTGACCAAAGTTAATGCATGGCTGTGAGACAAGGCTGTCCCCCCCAGCACAAAGGAAGCTCTTCCACAAAGCAAAGCTTGGTTCCTGCTGTGTATATGGAGAGGCAGAGAAAGCAGCACATACCATCAGCACAAACCACTGACGAGTGGAGTGGAGCCAAACACCTAACCCACACATTACTAGGAGCAGGAAAAATCCTGTTGCCCAGGACCCAGGGATTTCTGTTGTCCCTGGAGGAGAAAAGACTGAGTGCTGGACCATCCACCACGTGGACAGCCTTCAGCTAGGGCCTGATGGCATCCGAGCCAGCAGGTTTACTGATAAACGCTTTCCTGCACCACAATCAGATCTGCAGCTAATGAGAGGGTCGTGATACATCAGCTGCTACCATCATGTGGGAATGGGCCCAGCAGAAGCACCCAGCTGGCAGCCATGGAGCAGATGGCTGCAGCCACGGGAAACTGCTTCCAGACCCATCTCCCAGGGCCAGGGGAACACACACAAAGCAGCAGCCCGGCAAAGCCACCGGGCTGGCAGCCTGCAGGGCTGCAGATGTGGAGACGTGAGCTCATACCTCTGGGGGAAATCAAAACTGGCTCACTGCACGTGCTTCCAAAGCACAGGGCTTTTTTCACTCCCCTTTGTGTTCCCACTGAGAATTCCTGCAAGTGGCACTGAGCGAAAGCCACATCAGCTAAACATGGGTTCCCAGCAAATTCAATTAAGAAACATGTCCTACACTTACATGCTCAATAAACCACTGCACACAGAGACAAAGAAAGCCTGTTTGAGTCAGCCCCCTCCAATAAAGCACAGGATATGGCTCCCTGAACACAGGATGTGTCAGATATTAAGGTAGTGGCTGACACCACTCCTAGACTGCAGCTGGGTGAGCCTGCAAGGCCTATCCTCCCAATGGGGGAACTGGCACACTGCCTTTCATGGTGGTAACTTGCTGCTCTGGATGGGGGACAGACTGCATTACCCTCCAGAGGCAGCAGTGCTGAGACTGGCTGAGGCACGGTGGGGTGAAGCCCTGCAAACATCTTCCCCCCAACAGCACTCCAGAGCACTCTGCATCAAGGGGCAAATGCAGAGAGGATCAATAAACAGCCATGCTTGAGGGAAAGGCAGGATATGGAGACTCCAGGTTTCAACTTGAAGGGTCCCTGAGGAAAGCAGACAAATGAGGGATGGAAAAAATATAAAAGACTTTGTCCATAAGGGCTAAACATGATCTTGACACCTCAGGACTGACATACTGACATAGCTTGACACACTTTCAGCCTCTGCTGTCCTGCACCCAAAGCTCCTTCCCCCTCAACACCTCAACACCAATATAACACACACAGCCCCAGGGCTGGCACAGCTGGAAGAAGAGGTGCCAAGGATGGGCAGACAGATCTGAGCTCAGCCTACAACTCTAAACTAGACAGTGCTGACTGAGATTAAATCAGCACAGTACTTCAGGAAGGCGGGCCCAAATCAGTGCACAAGCTCAGTGCAAAGCCAGGCTTTCAGACCTCACCAACTCCAGACTGTTGCCTCAGGGATCTTTGTGCCACAGTCTGAGAATGGAATAGATTTGCCTGCAAACTCCTACACTGAACTTGTTCTCAGGACATGGGAAAACTTCAAACAGTAAGCTTCATATCATTGTGTTCTCCTTATCCAACCCACAGTCACACTGGAGGAGGAGGTTAGAGACCAGACAGAAGTGTCCCAGGATGAAGACACCATGGACAAGGAAGGTGTTTGAAGACAGGATTATCTCAGTCTCCCCAAATTCAGCTCTGAAGTCACTGTTGGCAGGTCACAGACTGTGAGGCACAGCCAGTGCCCCCTTCCAGCCTCAGCACTGTCATCACTTCTCCAAGTGTCCCTGAAACACCTGGGACAAGCAAACACTTGCCTTTCTCAACCTGTTCCAACAGTGAAATCAACCCAAGGTTTATATCAGGTGGGACTGAGACAAAGACACAAAGGCCCTGCCTGCTGCTATTGTAAGTGGAAGAGATTCCCCAATTTCAGCCCAAACCCCAACAGTAAAGGGGAATCATCTGATGTGTCTGGGCAAGCAAAAATTTGAGGCTGAAGACAGCCTCTCCCTCTGCCTGTGGGGGAAAAACCCTTGCTCAATACTCCCATCACACCTGAATCTACCCATGACCACTGCAGGGGGAAACTAGAAGGGATGGACATGGAGCGGTATCCAGCAAGACACTGAGATTAAGTTCCACATGCATGTCTGCAGAAATGCAGTGCCCTTCATCTCACCATGCAGCAAACCACTGCTGTTGATTTTAGTCTTTTCTATCAATCTTGTTCTACTAAGGGGTGTCAGAAACAAATGTCCTTGGCTTGGCTGCCTGTGACCACTGCAGACACATGGTCCCATCGACTGGAGAGATGAGCAAAGCAGGAGAGGTGAGGGATTTGAGGCACAGAGAAGAACATGAGACAAAGACCATTGCACCTGAATCAAAAGCTTTTTCCCCTGTGACTGAGTCATCCCACTTCACACATCAGTGCTTTCTGCTCTCTCAAGGGATAAGAATCCACTGTGCCTGATCTCTCTGTCCTATTTAGCTTCTGCACAGCTACTGCCTCTCACTACCTACGTGTGCAGGGCTTAGTGAAACGGGGACAATGCTGGCTAGCATGCAAATGAAGCCATTTGCTCAGTTTAATACAAGAAGGGATACACAGGCATCCCAGTTCTCCGCTTCTAGTGCTCCTCCTCAGCCCTTTTAACTAGTCCCTGTAGCCAGCAAGCTCCTGCTCACACCCCCAAGAGCACACTGGAGGAGCCAGGGCACATCTTGTAGGACACATCTCCTCTTGTAGGACACATCTCCACTTCCTTCAAAATACCAAGTCAAACCAGTTCAAGTCAAACAGCCACAGACGTCTGATCATTTTGCTTTGCTGAGGTTATGGGGAACATAGACCTGCCAGGCTCCATGGAGGTGAATCTCTGCATGCCCTTCATGGGTGTGTTGGAAGAGTTCCAAGTGCTCTCCAAATTGGGTAGCGGAAGATGGCCAAATCTAGGTACACAAACACTCCACAATGCTGCATTTTTATCAGCACAGCTCAGGACTGTTTACATTTGCAGAAGACAGGCGTACAGGAAGATATCCTAATCATGGCAAATGCTAAGAAGGGGCAGCCCTCTTGCCTGCAGCATTCAGGCACTGCCAAGTCCTGTCCCTTTGTCTCCATGTTTCATTCACCCACTCACCCCACCTGTCCTGAGTTTGTAACCTGGAAAAGTAGATGTTAGAAAAGAAACATGAAAAAACCCACAGGAATCCCACAGCATGCAGGAGTCACTTAGCTGGGGCAACTTCACAAGCAACACAAAGTTAAACCCATGTGGAGGACTTGTAGATCCACCTGACACAGCTCTTAGGAAGCAAAGGGTAGACCTGTGTCTTTCCAGGAAATGAATCCCAGTTCATTTCCAGGGAAGACTCAAATCCAGCCTTTACCAGAACCAATACTCTTTAAGTTTCCACTGTGCACAAGAGTGTCCTTAATCATTGTTGGCACTTCATATTCTTGCTATCACTCAAGCCTTGACTCTGTAGAGTAAGGGCACAAGGCAACGTGGACTTTGTCTTTACAAGTACTGCATCCTTGGCTGGTCAAGGACCCGGCTTTGCTCCCTTGATGCCAGCAGCTGAAGTCAGCAGGTCAGGGTGACCTTTGAAAGAAGAAACAAAAAGGAACAGACTCATGCAGAATACAAAGCAAAGGGTAGAAAGAAATAGGCAATGAGAAAAAAGAACTGAGGAAAGCAGAGATGTGACAACATGGCAGAGCCACAGATTAAGAGAAGGTTCAAAAAAAGCAGGTAAGAAAGGAGAAGAGAAAGAATCAAAACTGTTAAAGGCTGGAAGAGGTGATCAGGTGATTTCCTCCAACCTCCTGGATCCCAAACAGAAACAAGTTTGAAAGATTTTAAAAGAAAAACCTAAAGCACAATTTAAAAAAAAATTAAAAGTTACCTGATCTGTTTATCAGCCATTTAATTCAAACTTGATCTTGTTAAGAAATGAATCTGTTCCTTCCAATCGTTCTTTTTCAGTTACGTCTTTCTCACTTCAGTTTCTTCCTGGGAAAGGACAGAAAGACACCAAGAACACGAAGTTGAGACACTTACACTCTCCTTAAAGCTCAGGGGCTCCTTGGCAGGCAGGCTGTAGGGTTAGGACAGCTGAGGCACAAGTGACTTAAGGGAGCACCTGATCTCCTCAAAGAGGAGACTGAGCTCCAGAGGGAGCCTTATAATTGTATCTCTGTAAATATAAATATACAAGGACATATGGAGGGAAGAGTTGCCAGGGTCATCGGGTTCTAGCAGCATATGAGGAAGGGCAGCAGCCAGGCAGGGCACAAGCTCTGTCCAGAAGCCAGGACAGCCATGTCTGTCACTTCTCTCCAACTTCAAAGAGCGTTTCACACCATACCATGCACATCCCCAATCCTCTGCAGGTCCACCCAGCCAGCCCAAGAGAGTCAAATGTCATCACAAGACTCTTTTAGCACTTCCCTTCAACACATACATGCTGTGTCTAAAGGGCAGCCTTCAAAACACTGCTCCTCCAGAGGTTACTATCCTTCCCCTATTTCCAAGCCTAAACAGACAGCCCATGTTCAGTCTTGTGCCAACACTGCTTTTTAAGCAATGCCTCTTCCTTCCCAAGCTACTAATGCCACTTTGCCCTTTGGAGCGCTCCTTTCAGCTCTGCCAGACTGCAGGAATCAGTTCTAAGACTCTTAATTGTTACTGTTTAATGAGAGCTGTTAGAAGTCACCACACAAAGAAATCTGGACACCAGAGAAAATTTCAGAAGGGGCCACAACTTTCAGCTTTCTGGAGATGCCTTCATCTCCTCACCTGCAGCCTGGGAATGAGATGCCCTGTGCTCTCTGCAGGTGTCTCAGCAGTATTCAGCCAACGCCCTCCCTCTTCCCTTTCACTTGCCACCTGGATGCTGAGCCAGAAGCAAAGGAAGTACCTTTGACCTTTCCCTCTGGAATGAAATTTGCTCCTTTACTGCAGATTTCCTAAGCCACACAGAATCTCGCATCCAACAGAGGGGCTTACAGGCCAACACTTCCCAGAATAGAAGGTCCCTGAAAGTGTGAGGAGCTAGTGAAGGTGCAAACAGGTATGGGAAGGAGTTCAGGTTGTCCTCCTGTTATATCAAGTGCCAAGGATAGGATAGCATGAAACCATTTGTACAGTCCCACTCTTGGACAACATGAGACTGAAACTGCCTTTTCTGCAGCCCCATGTTCAACTAGAGCTGTGAGAGACCAGCACAGGGAGCTCCTTAAGGAAAGGTACTCCTCCTCAAAACACTGCACACAAACCTCACCCACTGCACCATGCTGTTATACCTTCTGTGGCCCTCTTCAGACAGCTCACCTGATCCCAACTGATCTGTGGCTGCAGACCTTAAAAAGCTCCAGATCAGATAAGTCTGCACTTTTCAAGGGAAAATCACTTACACCCTTCATTACATGTGCTTTTATATGCATGTCCACAAGAGCAGCTTGGTTTAGGTTAATCTAATTTTCTATCAAATTAACCAGAATAAGACAAAAATATAAAAATATAGGAAGACCAGTAGCTGAAAGCCTGTAACCCTGTCATAAACAAGTTGTGAATCATGAAAACTCACTTGATGTCTACACCCTCAATAAACTCGTGTTATTGAGACAGGCCTGACAAAATACATGAACTAAGTGGTCCTGACAGCCTGCTCCAAGCTCTGGCAAAACATCCCCCTTGTTGCCTCTGCTGCACCCTTCCATGCAGAGGGGCATTCAGGAGGACAGACATCCACCACAAAGGGCAACAGCAAGGAAAGACAGCAAGGCTGCCAATATTCAGCACAGCCAGGTAGCCAAAAGAGTGAGAGACCAAGATGGACACACAAATGCATCACAGGGCTGTTTCTTACCTGCTGACACAAGTAGGGCACTGGAGTCCCTCTGCACCAAGAGGGACTTGGGACAGCTGAATTAAATTCTCTCTGGCCTTTTTTTCTTTTGACTTTTGGCTTCAGCTCCCCACCTGCCTAGTAACTACAGAGTCTTCCACAGCTGTCGGATCCAGCTGGAAAACTGCTGCTGCTTCCCACCAGGGAACTGATGCTCCTGCTGCAGCTGCACAGCAAGACGGGGCAAAAACAACCTTCCTGGGTTTAAAACTGGGCAAGGGTACAGGTTTCCTTGGTGCTGGCTGTACAGCCAGCAAATACCAGGACTAGTATCATCTCCCCTAACAAAAGCCACTCAACTCGCGGACGAGCGACGGGAAGCGAACAATGTGATCATTTTACAGCAGACACCAGCGCTTGATAACTGTTTAAACAGCACCTGGCACTGCAGAGGCCTGAATGTCTGTGGCCAGGGGATTTTAATGAATTAAGGGATTTTAATGCAATGAAGTGGAAAGCTTATTTGAGCTCTGTTTGTTTAAACAGAGCTCCAACGAATGATCATTTGCAAAACAAACCCTAAGTCACCCCAAGCTCTATCTGACCACTTTGCTGTAATCTACAGAACTCCCTGAGTCCCTTAAAAGGGGTGAATGATGAACCCTCCAGTGGCCTAGTCAGGGAATTTCTGAGCTGAGCCAGATCCCAATCACTTCCAGGGCTGGAAAATACCTGCTACCATTCTGCAGTCTTAAGAGGGGGAAAAACTGGCTGGGAAGAGAATGCTGGGAATTTTATAGGACATTTAAAAAATAAATCCAGAACAACATTATACATTTAACCTAAAGATGAAAGAGATTAAATAAAGACCTAAGTATATCTTCCCAGGAACACAGTGCTCTCAGGAGCCAAAAACTACACATAAAATCAGTCAAGCATCTGCAGCCAAGCAGGGTGTAGCTCCAAGGCTTCCTGTGGGAGAAGTGTCAGGGAGCAGGGTTTGCATCTTCTTAGGAAATCTGCCATCAGGACCTGCATTGGGGCAGCAGACAAGCCAGCAGCACCAAAAAGGTGCTATGCCTCAGAAAGTTTTTGTATGGTTAAACATCAGGACAGTGGCACTGCTGGAACTGGGAATCTGCATGGTAAAAGGAGCTGAGGAACTGGGAGGAAATTGGTTTAAGAAGTGAAATAAGAGTCACCAGAGAGCCACCTGAAAGCCAAAGAGGCTAAGCAGTCTTCGTGGAAGGGGATCCTAAATTGAACATCCCATAATTAAGAGAGTGAGAACAGCATGAGAGTATTTCCTTCCTAGAGTGCTGTTAACACAGCTAGGCATGGATTAATGCCCCATTACTTGCACACCAGGACATCCCTTTTACATTTATTAAAATGATCAGGCAAATTAGTTTCAGAGCCACACGCACACCGAAGCGGTGCAAATGGCCCGAAGCTCATGCTGACACATAAATGGCCCAGAAGCCTCCTCAATCCTGCCTTTCCCTTTTCTCACCTCCCAAAAGTCAGCTCCAGACAGTGACAGAACAGCCACACTAGAAGTACCACAATGCAATCCTAGATGTATCTGGTCCTCATGGCCTAGGCCACCAGCAAAGTGGTGCTAATTTTCTCCCCTGTCTTGCCATACATCTTCCACACAAATCAGACAGTGAAGCTTTCTCCAGGAAGACAATCTTTGTATCTGCTCTCCTGATCCCATAGGGCATGGGGCTGAACTTTCAACCTTCAGGTTTTGCCTTATCACCTGAAGGAAAAGTGCTTACTAGAGAATCACAGCTCAGCATGAGGCATGGAGGGGAGAGACAAACATGTCTCATTAATGCATCACACCAGTAAGCTTGGATTGGAAATACAGGCACCCAACATCTCCACAAGCCAGGAAATCACAAGAGAAGAAACAGGTTAAACTTACCCACAAGTGTCTGACCTTGCTGATTGCATTTAGTGCTACCACACCGCCCTATAGATGTGGGTTGCCACCTCTACTCCCAGATACCACTGCTCTACCCCCAGTCTGAGCCGAGTACAGCACCCTCCTTCTCCTGCTCTTCCCCTGCCAGGCTGCCAGAGCCACAGCTGCCATCCTCCAAGCCAGCTGTGGGCTCCCAGTCCTCCAGCTCCCCCAGCCTGGCCAGAGGCACCCCCACCCTCCCAGAGGCCAGCTCTTCCCTTCTGCCCTCTGCCAGCACTCCCATGGGCAGATCCCCCCCCCAGCAGCCCCAGTGCAGCTGAGCACATCCTCTCAGGCTCAGACTGCTGCACATGCTGATTTATCTGAGCACACACAGGTTGCCGGTTTGACAGAAAACCTTTAGCAAATGTCAGCTGCTGCTGTGGCCGAAGAAAGCAAATCTGTCCTCTCCCTACACCCAAACGTGTTCCCATCCCTGATTTCATGCCAGCACAAATATTTGTGCCAGGCAGTCAGACAGGAATGAGACAGAACTGGAGGCCAGCACATGCTGGAGCTGTAACTGAGAGCCAACTTCTAAGCTACAACCTTGACTTGAGAATAAACAGCAGAATGGGAAGTCAGGACTCCCTTCCACATATTTCTATTTGTCTTGAGAGCAGACAAACTCAGAGCCCCAGTGAGAGAAGCGGATGTCAAGAAACAAGGCTCAGAAGGTGAGCAGAGGAAACAAAGCTGTGCCAGCCTCCATTGTGTCAAGAGGACACTGCCATGCAACCATTCACAGTCAGGAATGGCAAGGGGAAGGAATCAGCAACAAGTACCTGCTGGGAGAGGAGAAACCCTCTGGGATCAGCCCACTTTCCTTCACAGCACAAATGCATCTGATGGTGTGGACACTGCACAATTTTGTTAATGACAGGACCAAAGCTGCCACCACAATAAGGTTTAAGGAGTGCAAAATTAAACTGCAAATATTTCCTGAGAAAAGCTGCTTTCTAGACGCATGACAGGCACAAAGTGCACAAGGGAGTTGGCACGAGGTAATATCACCTGGGGAGAAGCTGTCAATTTGGCTCTTGCCTACTCAGGACAGTTTGGGACAGAGGGTTTAGAGAAAAGAGGTGGCAGTTTAATCCTGCTTGCCTTAAGGCCCTTGAAAGAAGGGACTGCCATGAATTTCCTTGCAGGACCTGGCAAGGCATTAGTCCTCAAGAAAACAAAGCAGCT